TCTATTTTCTCCCTTTCAGGATGGGAATTGGGATAATTCCTTCCTTAAATATTGGTAGAATTCACCAGTGAGACCATCTGGTCCTGATGCTTTCTGTTTTGTAAAGTTACTGATTACTGATTCAATTTATTTAATAGATAAAGGCCTATTCCAATTGTCTGTCTCTTCTTATGTGAGTTTTAGAAATTGTGTCAATTTTTAAAAAATTTGTGCCATTCATGTAGGATATCAATTTTCCTTGTGACATCCAGGATTTTTTTCTGAATCTAATAAGAGTTCTTCAACTTTTTAAGTGACATAGTTGAGGTATGAAAGAATGTAATAAAAATGAAGGATTAGAAGATTTTATTCATTCAGTTCTAGACACTTGAGCTCCTTAGAATGAGCACTCCTCCCAATAGAGGGGAGGGTTTGTAAATAGAGAAGAGGGAGAAGCTGATGGAGATCTGGATAGCAAGGGGCACAGTCTTGAGCATGGGTGATAACTATCTTTGAATAGAAGAGGGAAACTCCTCATTGAAAACTGAGGATTCTGTTACTCATTTGTAGAGATGTTTAAACATAGTGAGGCTTGGTATCAATCTCCTTTTAGGTAGACAGCTGAGCTAGCAAAATAAGATACTGAGAAGTGCTAATAATGCATGTTCAGAAGGCAAGTGGTACAAATGATACATGTGCTGCTCCAAAAACCACATCAACTTTCAAACGTCCCTTTCATTATACCTTCCCAATCTCCATATTTGAAAATTTTTGCCCTCTCCTTTCTCTGCTCCAAAGTATATGACACTTTATTTCTACTTTTCTCAGTACCAAGTTCTGTATATGTTGCATTATAATGACTTTTTTCATTTGTTGAGATGAATATTGTTTGACAAATACTTACTGAGCACCTACATTATGCTAGATAGACTTCACATCTCTTCTTTAAATGTTTGAAATTTGGAATTTTCTATAATTCATTATTGATTCCACTAAAGTGTCTGAAGCAGGGTCTTGTATGTATGTAGATGACAGGCAAAAGTTTAGTGAATCAAAAATAAGTGAAGTTATTATGTTCATGCTTGCATATATTAACTGCCAAAATAACAGCTAAAAGTACAAAGATTTTCTCTTAACTATGTCGTATAATCCTTACACAAATTTGACATGTAGACATCATTGTCTCTATTTTGCTGTTGAAGAACCTTAGCTTAGAAAGGTTAAATAATTTATTCACTTACATAACTAATAATAAGACTCTGTTCCATGATGAGCCAATTTCAGTAGCTTATTTTTTAATAACCATCTTCTTCAATCCACAAAGTATGCTGCCTGTTTTTATCAACTCTTGACCTTCTACCACTAGAACTTATCAGAAATGCCAAGATCAAACATTAAACATAAAGAATTTAGAGGACAAGCAAAATGGAACCCTTTCACCTGGGAATACTTAAGTTGTGTAATCACAAATAATACAGTTATATTATGAGGGAAAAAAAACAATTCCTGAAAAGGGAGTTTCTGTTGGTAAAGGCCACTCTTGCTCACAAGACACCAACATGCACAGAAATCATGGCTTAGCTTATCCTTGTCTGCTGGATAATAGTTTGTTTGCTGAGATCAGCTTGGAATGGCTGTCTGTGTGCCTAACACATGACTCATACTGCCTGACCACAATTTGTCTGACTCCTTTTCATGGTTCATCTTTCTTTTTCAGTTTTGGCCCAGGCTCTTGTACTGCTCACAGGTGTCCTGGACATCTTTGCGAAGAACATTTGATAATAATCACCCAGCTTGGCTGCAGCACAAACACTACGTGGACTTGGGGGCCCTTGATGGAAAATCACTTACTCTATTCCTGAGAAGTAATATTTTCAGTTTACTTCACACAGACAACACTTTTTCAAATTCAAAGTGGATGTCTGTTTCCATAGCCCAGGTAATTTATTCCAGTTACTTAAGACTGAGCTCTAAATCCATGTGCCATTGGTAATTTGGGATGGATATAGGGAGGAATTTCCTGAGAGCCTTATGGGTTATTAAACACTGAAATGTGCTACAGAAGCAAATTGAAGGACTCCTTTCCTGTAAAGGTGTTTAAAAATGGAATCAATGAACATTATGCAGTGTGAGCCAGGGACCCATGTGAAGGCAAGGATATGGAATAGATGACTTCTCAAGGTCTTACAGGGCTAGCATTCTGTGATTCATGCTTTAAAATCAATGATCTGTGTTGAGAAAAATCATATCTTATAGGTATGTGAAGAAAGCAAACATAAAATATTCTAGAGGCAGTGATAAGCATTTATAGTGTACTCAACCAGTACTGCTGCCTTAGAAGATATTTACCAAGTTTCATTGATTGTAGATGAGGCAGTGATACTATAATCTTGGGGGAAAACCTACAATTTTTAATGTGGCACTTGAAATTCATGCAGTGAGACTGGAGAAAGTCTTCCCAAAAAGCATTCATTTACTGTCTACATGCAGTAACCAGTAGAAGGATTAGAAACCTTCCAATATGCTGCTCCTGCATTCATATGATGGAAGAACCTGAAGATATGAATGGCTATAAAGATTATACTATGCTATTTTTATTTTTAAGTGGCATATAACCCATTCATTTTTCCATACTCATAGATCATCTAGGCAATTCTTCATTTCACATGGCTATGCTCCAAAATTTGGGGCTTGAGAAATGAGAATACATTTTTCTTGATGAACAATGTTCATTTACTTGTCTACTTAGCTTCAGAAATATTATGTAGCATAATAAATGAACAGTAACACTGCTTTAACCTTAACGATAAAAAAATGAATGAATTATAAAGTAGGTTTTTTGTGTTTCATTTCTTCATTTTAAATGTCAGAATTGGAGGAGATAGAAGGACATTTCTATAGAAATACCACAAAGAATTTCTGGGTATTTTCATAGGTTCTGGTACTTGGTGTGACACTGGGTACCATTTGTAATTTCCACTGAACCTTTTTTACCTTTTTCTGTGGATAGGTATGTCATTATTGATAATTTTTCACTTAACTCTGATGGTGTTCACATTTCTATTTATTGAATGAATAATTTCTGAGCACTAAATGTATTTCAGGCACTGTGCTGACTGCTGGCGTATAATAGTGATAAAAAAGATGAGGCCCTTGTCTTTGTAGGTGTTACAATCCACCAGAAAGAGCATACTGACAAGACCATCAGAGCAGAAGAGTGTGTCACATGTGCACACATTATAGGCAGAAGGGCATGTGAAGTGCAGAACGGTGTGGTTGGAATTCGGAGAGCGAAGGGAACAGTTGCGTGGGATGAAGCTGAATACAGGAAACCAGCACTAACACAGCGAGGACACGGTGGAGAGTGTTTTGTAAACAGACTGTTAGGTGAAAGAGAAAGGAAAGAAAGATAGTTGGATAGATTTCCTTGAGTTAGCTGGGGTAAAATGGGCAGAGGAAAAGAAAATGGGTTATATATGAGGTATAGAGTGATAGGGAGATAGAGGAGCATGACATAGTATACAACTGAATAATATAGATAGATAGATAGATAGATAGATAGATAGATAGATAGATAGATAGATAGATAGATGCTTGTATACTAGATGTGCAGACTTCCAAACTGAGGCTGCTGAGAACTTGCCATGCAAATTTTTGGGGAATTCTTGTCTAACTCATAGTGTGACCTCAAATTATGAATCACTGGGGTAAGAATAAGATCAGGGGCTGTATATTCTTTGCACTCCCTCCATCAAGAGGTGGGCTCTATTTCTTTTCCTTTTTCATCCGGGTTGACTTGTGACTGTTTGACAAACAGAATATAGCAGAAGTGATGCTATGCCAGTTTGAGGTCAACCCTTTAAGAAAACTGGCCCTTTATGCCCTTTGCCTTCGAGTCCTAAGCCACCATACTAAGAAATCTGACTACCCTGCAATAAAAACCATGTGGGGAGGCTCTGAGATCACATGAACATGAAGAGGGGCTCAAGTGAGCTCACTGTTCCCAACATCCCCTTCGAAGTGAGAGGCTTGGGAGCAAAGCTGACTTGGACCCTCCAGATAAGCCTTCCCACTAGGAAAATACTGAGCAATCCCAATGGTTACCTCATAGAGCAAAAGAATCACCCAGTGAGCTCTGCGCAAATCCCTGACCCAGAAAATTATGAAGTATCAGCAAGGCTGTTTCACACCAAGTTCGGGCACTTTGTTACAGACCAAAAGACAACTGAAGCAGTGTCTGTTGCCATGAGTAAGGTGCTGCTTTACAAAAATCTAAAACCAGTGGCCTTGGGGCCCAGCAGAAAGAAGCTAGAAGAGCCCCAAGGAGACTGTTAGTGAGAGTGGGAAGAGCCTTGGGGAGGTTGTTGATGAATATGAGAAAGACAATGGGGAGAACATTGTTGGAACTGAAGAAAAAAGACCCCTAGTTCTGTAGGTCCAGAAAGTCTGGCAACCCTTATGACTGGCAGTAATGCAGAGAATAAGAGGTGTATCTAACTAGTGAACTCAGTGATCAAGCCAAGAGGATTGATTTCCAGGCAGGATGCTGAAATGTTGACTCTTTTAGCTGTGATAAAATAGTTTAGTCTACTATAAATATAAAAAATGAAGATGAAATTATTCAGGTTTTGAGCTGAATTAAGAGAGCATATAAAGTGCTTGGGACAGTCTTTTTAGCCAGCAAAAGATTCTCAAAGAAATGGCCTTAGGGCGAAATTAAAACCAAGGCAGTTAAGACTCAGTCTCTGTGAAAGGTTGAAGTCAGGATAAGGCCATAAAAACCCCTTGTTTAATACTGCAGAAAGATGTAAGGGGTATCACACTTGCTTTTTGTTTCGCATTAATATTTTTAAGAATTTTTTTTCCAACAGACTCACCAGTTACCTATGACAAGTAAGTGGCCAATTTGGAAAGTAATATGAGTATGGCTTTTATCTAATGGAGTGAAATACAACCCGCTATATTAGACACATACTAAATTCTAAGAGATGTGTACTAGTTGAAAGACTGAATTAAAACAGATGTAGACAGTACAAAAAGAAAGAAAGAAAAGTTTGGTATTTGGTCTAGTAACCATCCATGAAAAGGAAGTAGGCTGAGAGAAAAAATGACTCAGATTCAGGAAGGGTAGATCCAAATACCACTGAGAATATTTCCCAGGGATCAGGACAGAGCCCAAATCAAGGACCTGGCAACATGTACCTGCCCAGATTTTGAGTTGCTATGAATCATTCTCCGTTATGTGCCTCCTATTTTCCCACATTTTGACAATGAGTGTCTATTGTGGTTGCCCTAACTCTCTGTCTCACATTGTATATTGAGTATGTGGGGTACAGATTATTTATCTCTTCAGTTCACAGATCTTCAGAGCATGAGGAATCAACTCAAGGGACCTTATCCAAGTCTGGTCCTAATTTAGATAGCAAGATTCTGGACTTTGAGATGATGCCATAATGGGATGAGACTTTGGTCACCTTGAAAGGGGTCAATGCATTTTACATATGGAAGAAATAGTAAATACAAAAAATGTAAATAATTTGTGGCTGTAGGAAAGATGGTAGCAGAGTAACCATGTCTGTAAATTAGTTGATATTTCTCTCTTTGAGAGGTTGGACCTATTTCCCTTCCTATTGAATCTCCACTGCCTGGATTCCTTTGAGCATTACACCATGGTAGGGGAATGACACTATGTCAGTTCTACGCCTACACTTTAAGGGAACTCTAAGCCTCTGCCCTGACATCTTAAAGCTCTGAGATGTCATTTAAAATCTAATTCCCAGATTGGACACCACAGGAAGAAGGTAAGGAATACAGCTAAGGTCCCCTTTCCAGATAACCCTTCCTAGTGCCAGGCATGTGATAAAGCCATTGGCCTTCCAGAAGAGTCCAGCTGAATACCACTGAGTATGCCAGTAAATGTCAAATAGAGAAAAAGCACCCTAGTAAACCTGCCAAAATTCTGATTCACAAAGCCATGAGATAATAGCGAAATGCTTTTAGTTTCAAGCCATGTGTTCTGAGGTAAGTAGTTTTGCCACCAGAGATAACTGTCACAGCCCCCAAAGAAACTGAGTTGGAGGGACTGAAAATCTGAGCGGAATGTGTATATTTTCATCAATGGAATCAGTGATTGAATTAAAGATAGAAGCTTTAGGGATTGAAAATAAAGATAGACCTTTGGTGAGAATGCATTATGATCCCAAGGCAACTGGGAATATTTACAAGTTTTTAATCCACATAAGCAAATAGATCTCTGGCAAGCCATGTGAATAATGAATATCAGTGCATGTAATTTATGAGTGTATCCATCACTGTAAGAACTAAAAGTGGCCATGGGCTTAGATGAATTTGAGGAATAGAGTAGGTAGGGCTTCAGGAGTTCAGATCCTAAAGAGTGATTGGCCTTCTTCCTCAGATAGAAACTTGAGGTCTTCAGACACTTGATAAAAAATTCTTACATTATTCATTATATCCATTCATTCAGCAATATTTATTGTATCATCTACCTATGCAAGTTCAGCATAACATTCTGTTAGGAATACAAAAGAGGAGATTCTGTCCTTGCCCTCCAGGGACTTACAGTAGGTTAGAAAATGTCAGTCAAGGGCTAAAGTAATGCTAATGTACAAAAGAAAATATTGATTTCTAGCATTGGAGAGGATTGACTGGCTCCAAGATTTTAGAATCTAGTCAAGGAGCTTCCTAAGTTGAAGAGGTAAGAAATCAGTCCCTGAATAGACTGGGGAACCATAAAAGGGCAAAGGAATAAAGAAGGATCCAGTGACCAGGTAATGCTTACCAAGGTCACAGTGCAATTTGCAGAGATTGATTATATCCTGAACCCTGCTACTTCAAGGAGCCTTTAGAACCAGGAAGATACTAGAATCTCATTTGGGGGCATCTGCAGGAAAGTGCAAATTACTCCAGATAAAAAAATTAGAGGCCCACCTGAGATAGAACCAATAAAAGTAGTTGAGGTGTCAGGAATTCCATGAGAATTCTGCTATGGGAAATTCTAACAAAATTCCTGTTGGAAGAGTAGGATTCTGACCAAGTTGAATAGATTTTATGCCGGATGTTGCTGCTGAAATCCCAGAGCCAGTGTTCCACTTGTCCTCAGTCCCTCTCTCTTGTTTTCACCCAATCCTCTTCCTCCTAGAAAATTATTCATGCCCACCCAGTAATTACACTTCTAGGAATTTCCCAAAGAAAACAAAATCTCTGATTCAAAAAGATAGATACACCTGTATGTTTATTAACCCATTATTTTCAATAGCCAAGATATGGAGGCAACCAAAGTATCCATCAATAGATGACTGAATAAAGAAGATGTAGACATATACAGAATGGTGTATTATTCAGCCATAAAAAAGAATGAAACCTTTCCATTTGCAGTAACATGAATGGACCTAGAGGGCATTATGCTCAGTGAAATAAGCCAGGCAAAGAAAGAGAAATACCATATGATTTCACTTACATGTTGAATCTATAAACAAAACAAAACAAAAGGAACAAAACAGCAGTAGACTCATAGATACTGAGAAGTGACTGGTGGTTACCGTGCAGGAGTGGTTGAAGTGGGTGGGTGAAACAGGTGAAGGGGATAAAGAGGCCCAAAATCTCAATCACAATATAAATTAGTCACAGGGATAAAAGTATAGCATAAAGAACATAGTCAATAGTTCTGTAACATCTTTCTGTATTGACAGATAGTAAGTACACTAGTTGGGGTGAGCTTTCAATAATGTAGATAACTGTCCAATCACTATGTTGTATCCTTGAAACCAACATAATATTGTATATCAACTATACGTGAATAGAAATTATATAAAAATAATTGATCATACCCTATATCACTCAGCTCAACCAAAGGACTCATCTGCTTGCCTTCCCCCCTCTCCCTGCTCCAGCAATGTATGCTTGTTCAGGTTGTTAAATAAATAATACTCAAATTTTTTAAGTTTTACTTGTTTTTTTTATGAGAGTCCCTCCTCAATACTCCCTTTCCCAGCTGCTCTTGCAGCTGTGGTTGGTCATTACAAATAGCTTTCTCCAAGGAGGCATAAGAAATCTCAAGTTAGTTTAGGAAAGACAATTTGTTTCCTCCAAGAAGAGATTTCTTAAGGTGCCACTTTCCCCTTCTTTCTACCTTGAATGTAAATATGATACCTGAAGCTGCAGCAGGCATCTTGCGAAAAAGAGGCAACAAGCATGAAAATGAAAAACAACACATCTGGATGACAGAGAAAAAGGAAAGAAGGATTTGGGTCATTGATGACATTGTTGAGTTTTCAAATCAGCCATGAGACCTCTTGTTAAGGACATAATAAAACTTCCTTATTTAAGCCATTGATACTTACACAGGAATGAAATTCTAATCGTGTTATTGTATTTCATTAAACATATAATGCAATTTATTGTAACTATATTGTTCTTTATTGTACTACTGAGCAGGAAAATAAGCCACATAATAAAATGTTCAGCACTTGTAATTTTTATTTTATACTTCTGAAAAAATGCTTTTCTATTTAAAAAGACATAGGTTTTTCATCATATATTTCATATATTCCATTTGTGAGTATATTAAAAAATAAGTGGTATAAATTTGTTGGAGTGCCCTGAAACTTCTTCACATTCAGTGTACAATTGTACTGAATACTTTCATTCCTCCATGTTTTTTCCACATATCATACTTTGTCTTCAACAATGTGTATGATGCAGTATTTCTTAAACTAATCCATAAAATAATTAATGCCAGTTTGGGGACTTTTGGATCTGCTTTACATGTGTGTAGAGCAAAATCAATTTTTGGACCTCCACTGCAATATTCCTAAACATGTATTAACAATTTCTAGTACCCTCTTTCCACACTATTGGTTTCCTAGATGTTGAAAGAATGTGTCGTCCCTGGGATTATCTTCCAAGCCGGCACCCATTCTGAGAGTTTTACTTGCCAGTGCTTCTAACATTCATTCATTTGTGCAGGCAGTGAGTACTACATCAGAGCTCCTGTTCTTCCACCAGCAAATGTACCCCAGTGAACGTAGGATTCGTCTCTTATGTCAGTCTGGATGAAGTAATTTATTGAAGTACAAAGTGACTGGCAGCAGCCATAGCTTTTATGTTTTGTAGGACCTTCACTATGCACCTCCCTCTGAGAACCAGAATCTCCGGATTTACAGAGCCTAGAGTTGTGGCAAAAATTTATACCAAGTAGGTCACTGGAACTGGTGAGTGAGCTACTCGTATTACTCCACTTTGATTTTGGAGCCTGTGTATTCTACATGTGCATAATGCACCATATACTGATTTAACATCTATATAACATACTGTTGAATAACATAGCACAGGATGTCATTTCCAAGCTGGCACCTCAATTGTAGCTTCAAGAGAGTGTTATACTACATCAAACACTTTCCCTATTTTGCAGTGTATAAGAAACAGGGGATAACACAGTTGCATGCCTACTGCTCTATCTCCTTTGCCGTAAGATGAGTCTCTTGTGGTGGACTGTAGTGATGTTGCACAGGGCGCCATGCTAGTAATCTGAACTCCGTGGATAGTGGTCCCAGCTGAGGCACTGCAGACAAAGAAGCCAAAACCAGGCCTAGAATCTGATCAGAATGAAAAGTTGCCTGTTAAAATGTAGAGGATGTCAGCTATAATCAACTTGCTATCAAGTTGCTGATTTGATTCCTTTACAGATTATATACTTCAGCCTGGCAGTAATATCTCAAAGAAAAGTTGTAATGGTTGAGATGAAAAATAAGTATGAAGATGAAAAATAAGTTCTAAGGATGTACCTACAGAGTTGGAGAAGAAGAAATTGAATGTGTGTAAGAGAAACTATAGCAATAAAGTCAGGAGTGAGACCCTCTCACCTGTTTATAGTGGGAGAAAAAATTATGAAGAAATTTCTGCAAAATTAATTTGCAGAATAAACCAAGTACCAATGTCACTTGTCCTTGAAATTCCTTTTCTTAATAAATTCCTTTTCTTAATTAAATTTACTTGAGAATTTAAGTAGAAATAATAGGGCATATGGTATAAAAATATCTTAATTGGCTAAAAAAGTAGCAGTAAAAATTAAATAAATTATGTTAGACCCATAGAATGGACTATTACACTCCTAGTGAGTTACATCTTAGTAATGGCACCAGCTAGACCTGCTCTGGTGACTGGAACACCATGTGGTTGCAACATTTATGCTTCCATCTTCTGTCGAAATAACTATTCCATGCTGGAGCCCACAGTTTAGGTCTTGGGATGGTACATTTGCCAGATGAGATATCCTAGCTACTGGAATGTTTAGTGCCTCTTCTGCAGTGCATGCGTTCAGGTGAGTACTGACCTATAACACAAATATTTCCACACTTTGTGCCCGCTTCCTTAGGTCCATACAATCTTCAATAGATGAAAGGTTCTGTAAGCCCTTGGAGGCTTACTCCACAATAAGGATCTGGCTCCCAATCTGCTTTCTCTCCCAGATGCCCTGAAAGCTCAGCCTCCTAACGGTCCTGTATTATTGTACATTGTTTTGTACTGTATCTGAACCCCAATGATGGGTGACACTCATTTTTTACTCTTGTGCATATTAGGAGATGCAACTGGTTATCAAGTTAAAGATACATATCCTTTAGCTATGCAGAGTAAAAATAACTGCTAGAGGACACTGTGGCCTGTTTTTACTAACTTTATCAGAGTCCCAGTTCTGGTTCAGGTTAGAGAACCTTTTCCTGTGCCTGGTTACAGTGGTTGGCCTGGAGAGAAGCTACGTGGTGTTAGCTCCTTCTTCCCTTCCCCCACCTTCTCAAATCATAGTTAACAAAGTTCTTACATCAACTAGCTTCTACATATTTATTCATTCTATTATTTTAGGTGATAATGTTATTTTAGTCAATTTCCAATCTAGGTTCAATGTGCCATGTCTAGGGATGCTAAGACATTTGCTTAGTGATTAGTGGGATATACTGGAAAATACACTAGTAAATATCAACTGCTATGTCAGAGCCTAAAAGGAGAAAGAGAAATGTAGTCAAGCCATTTTTTTACAAGGCCCAATCATAGGACATATCTCTGTCTCTCTTCTTCCTTCAAGCTGTCACTCAATCCTATTGCTTCATTTCTTAAATTATAAAACATAGATTATGATTTTTACAGACAGTTTAGAAGACAATAAGAGGAAAAAGAGGAAGTTCATCCTTACAGAAATAAGCATCATAAACATTTTTATGTATCTCCTTGGTTTTATTTTTAAGATACATATATTTCTATGAAAATGAAATCATGCATAAGCAATATCATATTTTAAGTTTCATATCATAGTCATTGAGTGACATCAATAAAATCACTTTAGAAAATAACTCAATAGGAGTAGAATAGTCCATTTTATGGTTTTAACATCATTCGTTTAATTTACCTGTTTAAACTTTGTATTAAGATAAATATTTTTGTACCATGAGTCCTATTGTTTATTATTGCTACTTATATCCTCATCTAAATTTATCTTTAGAATTAATACTGAGAAATGGAATTATTAGCTCAAGTTAATACTTAGTTTGTTCTACAAATTAATTTTGCAGAAAAACTTTAATGATTTCCTCTCGCACCATTAATGGGTGGGAGAGCCTCTCTGTATATGCCCTCTCCTGACTTTATCACTGTAGTTTTTCTTACACACATTCATTTCTTGCTCTCCAACTCTATAGATAAATCCTTAAACTTCTGTGTTTATTTTTCTATCTCAAGCATTACATCTTCCTTTAAGCTTAGTCCCAGTATAATGCTACGGGTTTGTAAGAGTCCAGTACAGAACTGGATGTATTGGTAAAAGTAAACCAGAAAATTCTAAGTCTCATAAATGTGTTTTATGCATAAATCATTGTTTTGACCACATTCTCCATTTGCTCCATGGCCAAAGACCCACATCCATATTTCCCAAAAGACTCTGTTTGGTTTATAAACTCAGAGTTACAGACCTGTAGTGACTCCATCTCTCTAGTTTATATTGATCTCAGGTTCATTAAATACATATACTAAAGTAACCTTCCCTGATTAATTTCTTTTCTACTTGAAAAACTTCCTTAATACTAACTTCTTTTCCATATGCCCACCATTTGCCATATCCTTTCATGTTGAAAAGAAATGTATCTTGGGAACTCTTCCATTCATTCATTCATTCGTTCATGCAGAAAATAGATATTCCTGTGGAAAGCCCTAGATAATTTCTGGAATCCTGCTTTTCTGGTGTGCTACAAC